CACTTTATACGATATTTTTTCATTTCGTTTAATTTACGACGTCGCAAGGGTTGTTTTGAGGGAATTACAAAAATAACGAAGTACGCGCGAAACATCAAAAGTAAAAGTTGACAAAGGAACATGTTTCACGGACCTTCATTAAATTACCGCGAACGTTGTTTAACTTCTACGGTATCACGAACGTTGTTTTACCAAAGTTTTATTACCCCCACCAACGTGGGCGTGGTCTCTGCCCCACCACGCGCCGGCAGGAAAGCCGCGGCGCGTTCTAAACCGTAGGTTTCAATCTTCGATGTTAATTAGACTCTTAATTATCGATACGTGGAAATTCTAAATTACCCATTTTCGTTTAACGATCCTTTTATCTCTCAATCTCGCGGAATCTCTCAACGAACGAGGAAAAATCCGAGCAATTTAAAATTGCAGATGTCAATTTTTCGTATTAATTGCGCCTTTAATTATCCATTCGTCGTAATTCCGTATCGCGTGTTACTTTTCTCGAAGTCATAAAAAACTGAATTTCACTGATAATTCTTGTTTAATAACTATTGCCAATTCCATCCGGAACCCTGCGTCGAATAAGAAAAAAGTTTGCGTCATTTATAACAGTGGATTTCAATTTCCTACGTTAATTATATACCCAATTATTGGTTTGCAGAAATTCTGCAACGCGTGTACTTCGCAAAGCAACTGAAAATTAAATTTCTTTGCTAATTTTTTCTTCCTTTCATTATCCTTTTTTATTAACTCGCCAGATCTTTTGTGAGATAAGGAAGAATCGCGGATTTCAATTTTCAATGTTAATTATTTTCCTAATTACATTCGTAACTATTGATTTATTAAAACTCGTTACTACGAATTTTTTTACGATTTTCTGCGAAACCACCAGTGACCGTAAATTGAAGTTTTATCGGTGGAATTTTTTTAAGGACCTTTTAGGTAACTCGGCAAAACTTTTTATCGGATATCTGCCGAAAGAAAATAACGAAAGCCCTAAAAATAATTTTCAAAGGGGTCCTCGGCAAATTTCCTTTGCGTCCAGTTCCCAATGGTTCCCAATGTCGTCGAAAGCGACATCGTTGAGTTACTCTACTACTTTCCAACTTTCCCCAAATTACCGGCTTTTGCCAATCTCTGCGAAGTTCTCGGAGAAATTTGCGAGAAATTCGAACATTAGCTTCATTTTCATGGAATTCTCGCTCGATGAAATAAAAATGTACGCATGGTTCATTCAATCACTATCTTTCACGAATTCCATTTCGCGAAAATTTCCCAACTTCGCTAAATTCGTTCGGTCTCGCCGAATAGGCTGCAGAATTTGACGTCGATCGTAAAGTAACTTCGCGAACTTTCCAAACGACCCGATAGTTCGTGCGAATTCTCTGGAAGAAAATAAAGAAAATCATCTCTCCTAATCTTACTCTTCATCGTTGCGAAAAATTCTTTCCTACGAAAATCTCGCGAAACCGTTGAACGAACGAACATAGACGTTCGACATATGCGTCGAATTAACTAGCAGAGCGCGACAGATGTCGCCACCGTCGCGAGAGCTTTCTAGTCCGTTGATTCAGCAAATATATAAATAAATAAATAACTTCGATGGTCCAGCAAAAACTCTTCTTCTGTATATAAATAAACAAATAATTTTGCTATTCCAACTCTTCGTTTGTTATATAAACAAATAAATAATTTTGCTAGTCCAGTATAAACTCTTCGTCTAAATATATAAATAAACAAATAATTTTGCTATTCCAACTCTTCGTTTGTTATATAAACAAATAAATAATTTTGCTAGTCCAGTATAAACTCTTCGTCTAAATATATAAATAAACAAATAATTTTGCTATTCCAACTCTTCGTTTGTTATATAAACAAATAAATAATTTTGCTAGTCCAGTATAAACTCTTCGTCTAAATATATAAATAAACAAATAATTTTGCTATTCCAACTCTTCGTTTGTTATATAAATAAATAAATAATTTTGCTATTTTAGTGAAAACTCTTCGTCTGTATATAAATAAAACAAATAATTTTGCTATTCCAACTCTTCGTTTGTTATATAAATAAATAAACAATTTTACTATTTCAGTGAAAACTCTGGATCTGTTTGGGCGAAAATCACGAATTCCACTTAGTCTTAGAATATTCCGAGTGAGATAAGGCATCGATGTCGCCGAAGGATCCCACGGGTGTAGCTTTAAAGGAAGTAATCGAGCTTTACTGGCCATTTCTCTTCGGTCTCGGCGCTTCTTTCGCGGGTTAACCACCCCCGAGCGTCGCCATTATCAAGATGCACGCTGTAACGACGAGGTTGCCTCGTGGTATAAAGGTCATCGTGATTTATTGGCCCCGGTGTAATTTTATGGTTCGGAGCATTATCACGGTGTACCGCGATCATTAAACTGCTATTTATATTCCGATTAACATGGAAAGTTAAGTTGGTCGCTGAGGTTGGTTTCGAGTTTTACTAAACGGGGTGTTTATGGGAGAAGTGGAGGAGGAAAGTTAGAAATAGAGCGATTGGTTTATTTTAGTCGATGGATGGAAGTTCCTTCATTTACGTGGGCTGCTTTGGTAAGAGCATTTCGGGTTGATTATATTGTAAACTTTGGTGCCTGGGCTGTTGTTATTGTTATTGTTATTGCTAATGGCGTAGATTTCAATGTTGGTATTCGCAACGAGTGTACTATCGTTGGTGTTTTTGTTAGAAGGAGAACTGTTGAGATTCTTTTATCATTGGTTTCGTTATTGCTATTGTTATTACCATTGCATTTATTGTACATTCTCACATGTTTGACAGTGTTCCTATCACTGTTGTTTCAATTTTCGTTACTGTTGGAAATTCGTGTTATTCTTGGAATTGTTATTGCTATTAACATAGCCAGTGCAATTGTTGTTACTATTGTTATCTTCACTGTCAATCCATTTTGTCATTGCTATTTTTATTATTTTTATTTTACTCGATACTGCTCTTATTTTTATTGCAGTTATCGTTATTGTTATTACAGGGGTCATTATTATTGCTATTTTTATTGTACATGCCTCTGCCATTGCTGTTGCAATTGTCATTGCTTTTGTCCTTTCTTTTTGTTCATGTATCTATTATTGTTTCTGACATTATCATTGGACTTAGCATCCGTATCTATTGCCATTCTCAATTGTGTTTTGTCATCGATACTACAATTATTATTGTCTTTGTCATTGCTATTGTAGTTGTTATTGCTATTGCTGTTTTTATTCTTCATGCTATTATTGCTTCTATCGTTAGATCTACTGTTGTTTCAATTTTCCTTACTGTTGAAAATTCGTGTTGTTCTCGGAATTGTTATTGCTATTGACATAGTCAATGCAATTGTTGTTACTATTGTTATCTTCACTGTCAATCCATTTTGTCATTGCTATGTTTATTATTTTTATTTTATTCGATACTGCTCTTATTTTTATTGCAGTTATCGTTATTGTTATTACAGGCGTTATTATTATTGCTATTTTTATTGTACATGCTTCTGCCATTGCTGTTGCAATTGTCATTGCTTTTGTCATTTCTTTTTGTTCATGCTTCTATTATTGTTTCTGGCATTATCATTAGACTTAGCATTGGTATCTATTGCCATTCTCAATTGTGTTTTGTCATCGATACTACAATTATTATTGTCTTTGTCATTGCTATTGTAATTGTTATTGCTATTGCTATTTCTATTCTTCATGCTATTATTGCTTCTATCGTTAGATTTGGCACTACTACCTATTGCAAACCTCAATTCTGTTTTGTCATCGACCCTACAATTATCATGGTTTCTTTTATTGCTATTGCTATTGCTACTGTTTTTCTCACTGCTCCTGCTACCACCGGTATAAATCCATGGCAGAAAAATCGAAAGAAAATTCCATTCCGCAAGAAACCTCGTACAAAAAATGAACACTTTGACCTGTCACAGGATGCAAGTGGCAGAAACACGATCTCGAGCTGCACTTTGATCCCGAAAAAGGCAGCAGTGGCCGAGAAGGAGACCTAATCAAAACTACCCTTCCGCTTGAAAGCGGCAAACTACGTTTCTCCTCTATTTTTGTTTTTCTCTGCTGGATAGAAGCGATTTCTGAAATTCACCGAGCGTGGGGCGAACGAAATTTTCCAACTTCCACGAGTCACAGCCCCTTTGCCCCTCCTTCTACTAATTTTCGCGACGTTCGTGTTCAACCGAAGCAGTAGAATCCAGCGTTTGGTTCGATCAACGAAAACGAGTTTTCACGGCAACTTCCGGCAGCGTGCCTACAACTCCGGGTACTTACTAGTCTCCACGGTGATCCGGACAGAAACTCAGAAACGAGAAAAATGGATAAAACGTGCTGCAAGAGCAAGCGTGCTCCTGTGACCGATAAGGAGAGTGACCAGAGCGTAGCGACGGGTAACTGGAGTTTCACACGAACCGGTGATCCGCTTAATTTTATTAAAAGTCGAATTGCTTCGCTGGGAATGTATGGGAATACACGAAGCAATAAACAAGTACCTAAAATACCCATTGACTGCATTGAAAAAATAGAAAATTTCGAAGATCTCGTTGTCATAGCACTCAAGACTCGGTCTTTAGAGAAACCATAACGGAATCATTCAGAACTGTCATTATTTCAAGACAAAACAAGGATAAATACAGGTCGCACGGGGCCCAGGACGAGTGCCCATTTTTGCCGCGCTAGAGACGGTACTGGGTAACGCAACGGAACCAAAATGGAAATTGCGTTGTTCGAGAATGATTTTTCATTATTATCGACGACAGAAAATCGTTGTGATAATTCGTGGAAAAAATAAGCGTAACGTTCTATTGTTGAGAGCGTAATCCTGAATAACAGCACGGCTCGATGCTTTGGAAAATAATAAATCGTGCTAAAAGTAATCCGACACGATCGACGACGGTATTTGATCGGTCTCGACGCCAATGATACGTTAATGGGAGATTTTCCACGTGCCCGTGGCACAGTTTCCGACGTTGTTCAATTAAACGCGATTAAAACAAATCGCCGTGCCTAGAAACCGACCTTAAAATTTCTCGCGATTAATGAGTTCCAGCGGGGTCATTCTCGTGGGAAATGGGACACGTTTCGCATGACAGGGAATTGCACCAGATCTCGATGATGGATGCTGAATTCGGTATTGGTTCATAGAACGCTTTAAAACGTGGAATAATAGGTAATTAATAGCTCGGTGTATGTCGCGCGTATAGTCAGACGCGGTGGGAAATATGGAAATCAATGATGATCCTTATTTCGTTGAAAATGGGGCTTAAGGTTCATGAGACGCCATTTTATACTGTATTCTGTGATAATAAATTTTTGTACCGCAGTATGACAGATAATTATTCTAGATTCGTTCATAAAAAGACGTGTTTGTGTTTCCTATTTAAGTGGGTCAATTTATAGGTTAGGATTGGGCATAGAGGGAGCTGCTACGCGTAATCAAAATGGCGACCAGTACCTGAATTATTGGTATTTAATAATCTCTTATTGCACCTAAGTTTATGTGTCTCAATTATAGCGTCAAATTAATGTAGCTATTTTATATAGTGCACATCTTAAAAAGTAATTAACCTAGGTTTATGTAATTGTGAAAACTTAGAACTTGGGTATATAAATGTCAATTTACCAACGTGTTTCCTAATACCTAGAGAACGTGGTACTATGTAGGTTTTAGTAAATACTTGTGAATGACTTTGTTATAGAAAACCAGTTTGCCAGGAAAGTAGTATTGTAAGTAGTATATAGCTGGCAGTGACTTCTAAGAACACAAGAAGTTAGGTGCACACCGACTCTAACTCACCTGACCAATGTTATCCAGCAGCTTGTACTGATTCAGCTGAAGAGCCCCTTGCCTATTGTCAATGGAAACCCTTCTGCTCTCCCTCAGAGGCCTTCTCCTGTTCCTGGGTGACCCCTGAGGACTCCCATATGGGGAATACGGGCAATAGGGATAGATAGGCCTCGCGGAGACGTTCGAGCCGTCCCCAAGGAACCTCTGATTCGTCCCTACTTCTCCGGGTGAGATTGCTTTTCTAACGTCAGAATCGTCAGCAGGTTCAGCGGATGTGAGCATCTGAATATCACTGGAAACGCTGCTTTTCAGAGTGAAAACGCTCGAGGATTTGTTCAGAGACAGGTTCTGCGACTCTGTCGAAGATGCCATTGAGCTAGTCACGTCGTCTTCCTTGGAAATTTGGAAAGATATCCCCCTGTCCAGATGAAGCTCACTGTCAGGCCCGTCTTCAGACTGGGTGGATAGAAACTGATACATCTTGATGGATCGTGGGAGAACACTGAATTGGTCATCCAGCCTGACTGATCTGGATTGGGTTGTCTCTTCGGTCTTTCGAACAGTTCTCGAGATTTTGTACAAAGGCTTTTCGTCCATTCTGGATGCAACGGTCTTGGGTCTCTCAGCTTTGGTGTCTTTCAACTTGTCCAAAGACTCGTTAGATTTGTTGCTCAGTTTACTGACGTTTCGAAGATTGGACTCGAGGAACGTCGAGGTGGAGCAACGAGGAACCACCTGGCCTGGACTCCTCGAGGTCGGAGATACCGAGAGACGGTTGATCGACTCGCTTAGCGAGGAAGGCTCGAAGAAGGTCAATGTATCTTGGCATCTGGTAGCAGTTGGAACTTCTGGCGTGTCCTTTGGCGAGATGCCGTGGTCTGCTGGCTCCCCCAGTAGGCGACATCGCGTGGAGAAGTCCTCTGGTGGATAGAAAGTTTGGTACAAATTAGGCTGAATACGTGGATGTTGCCAAATGTTTCAAACAGGAATTCACTTAATCGAATCGTTTTTGGTCTAAACGCTTCTGACAACTACCGTATTACTTCGACAGGCAGCTTTTGACCTGTTAATCCTCTGTTTTATCACTTTGCCGTCTATTCGAGGCAAGGCAGATTATTGTAACAAAGTTAGTAAGCCTAATATAGACTGTCAAAGATACTATGCATTTTTTAATTAAATTATAGACTTAAGAAAAATCCCAATACCCAATTAACGAATTATCATGTACCACAACTTACCAGAGCTGACACGTTTTTCCAGGTTACAAAGATTATCCAAACTCTCCTGTCTAGAGGGAGCTTCATCCCTCAGTATCTCCCTGACCTCTTCGATATTAGGCATCTCGAGTCCAGCTCCGGACACCTTCCTGTACACCTCTGTGGTAGGCATCCTTTCGACCTTGATGTCTTCTGTCAAGCTCTCCTCTGCCCTGCCCAATATCACCCTGGAGTTCAGGCGTTTTGGACCCGTGGAGGACCTACGTCTCTCCTTCAAGAACAACGACAAATCCTGCACGTCGGCAGTCGACGAGTTTCTCCTATCCTCGTCGAAGGTATCTAGATTGCTCCCGTATCCGCTGCTTTCTCTTCTGGGCCTCACTATCTTTGGACTCCTCGATTTCAGGATCTCGCGTAGGGTAGGAAGCCCTTCGGACTCTTCCAGGAACAGAGCACTGTCTTTCCTCACTTCGATGATCTCTTGGTCAGAGATATCCTCGGGACTGGAAGGAATCCTGGCGGAATCCTCGCGATCCTTCAACTTCGACTTGATTGGCTCCTCTGAAGGTAACGTGATGGTCACCTTGCCGTCCAAATCGTCAGATTTTTCTATTCCTTGGTCCGTGGATTTGTTCAGACCCAGAGACTTTCGTACTAGACCTAGTTGGTCGATTGGTAGTCTCGGCTGTCGTTCCAGGGAACAGGAGGATTTGTTGAGGACGTTCAGAGATCGAGCCTCTCTTTTGGTCGATGGATACTGGAACCTGGCCGGTTCCTTGGACGATAGCGTCGTTTTCGCCTCGTATTTTCGGATAGAAGGGTATTGGTCCGTAGAAGTGCTGGAAGGCAACGGGAAAATGCTTCTGGGCGAGTCCAGAGGAATATCTAGCGAGGAGTCCCTCGTGGTCGGTGCAGCGACTGTCAGCGACTTGGAAATGGAGCCCGGAGATTCTTCGTCGATCGCGCTGTGTCTGGAAACAGAAATTTATTCAAAATTAATCTTAAATTCCCTGCAATAATTTACCTTTGCAATAAAACTTTTCCAAAAATTTATTTCGGATATTAAATAAAAGAAATTCTTAATTCTCTAAAAACTTCGTTCCTATGCAATAGTAATTAATAATTATCATTTTTCTACATCTTCTGCTATTGTGTTATAATTTATTAAATTAATTAATCATTCGAAATCTCTGCTCTTAATGTAATTCGTTTCCAAATATTTCAATTGAAATTTTATTTTAATGTTTTAAAAACTTAAAGAATGAGAGAATTTTATAATAATTTGTTTCGTAGCACGTTTATTTTATTAATTATTTGTGTGCAAGCAAATCAGTTTAATTAGGCGAACATGGACTTTTTCTCAAACGATATGTCTGGAGAAAAAACGCAGATTATAAGCATACTACTGATCCCAGTTGAGTTTCACAGAAGCTGAAAGAGGTAAAGGCAACTACTAGCCATTTCGACACGACCATAAATAACGATGGTCCAATTAGCGTCAGTTTTTTTCCCTCTCCGCGATATAAAAGTCAACCTCAGCGGTTGACCAGCCTGTAAAAATGGCGCGAACAGGCGTTATTATTATTGCTATTTTTATTGTACATGCTTCTGCCATTGCTGTTGCAATTGTCATTGCTTTTGTCATTTCTTTTTGTTCATGCTTCTATTATTGTTTCTGGCATTATCATTAGACTTAGCATTGGTATCTATTGCCATTCTCAATTGTGTTTTGTCATCGATACTACAATTATTATTGTCTTTGTCATTGCTATTGTAATTGTTATTGCTATTGCTATTTCTATTCTTCATGCTATTATTGCTTCTATCGTTAGATTTGGCACTACTACCTATTGCAAACCTCAATTCTGTTTTGTCATCGACCCTACAATTATCATGGTTTCTTTTATTGCTATTGCTATTGCTACTGTTTTTCTCACTGCTCCTGCTACCACCGGTATAAATCCATGGCAGAAAAATCGAAAGAAAATTCCATTCCGCAAGAAACCTCGTACAAAAAATGAACACTTTGACCTGTCACAGGATGCAAGTGGCAGAAACACGATCTCGAGCTGCACTTTGATCCCGAAAAAGGCAGCAGTGGCCGAGAAGGAGACCTAATCAAAACTACCCTTCCGCTTGAAAGCGGCAAACTACGTTTCTCCTCTATTTTTGTTTTTCTCTGCTGGATAGAAGCGATTTCTGAAATTCACCGAGCGTGGGGCGAACGAAATTTTCCAACTTCCACGAGTCACAGCCCCTTTGCCCCTCCTTCTACTAATTTTCGCGACGTTCGTGTTCAACCGAAGCAGTAGAATCCAGCGTTTGGTTCGATCAACGAAAACGAGTTTTCACGGCAACTTCCGGCAGCGTGCCTACAACTCCGGGTACTTACTAGTCTCCACGGTGATCCGGACAGAAACTCAGAAACGAGAAAAATGGATAAAACGTGCTGCAAGAGCAAGCGTGCTCCTGTGACCGATAAGGAGAGTGACCAGAGCGTAGCGACGGGTAACTGGAGTTTCACACGAACCGGTGATCCGCTTAATTTTATTAAAAGTCGAATTGCTTCGCTGGGAATGTATGGGAATACACGAAGCAATAAACAAGTACCTAAAATACCCATTGACTGCATTGAAAAAATAGAAAATTTCGAAGATCTCGTTGTCATAGCACTCAAGACTCGGTCTTTAGAGAAACCATAACGGAATCATTCAGAACTGTCATTATTTCAAGACAAAACAAGGATAAATACAGGTCGCACGGGGCCCAGGACGAGTGCCCATTTTTGCCGCGCTAGAGACGGTACTGGGTAACGCAACGGAACCAAAATGGAAATTGCGTTGTTCGAGAATGATTTTTCATTATTATCGACGACAGAAAATCGTTGTGATAATTCGTGGAAAAAATAAGCGTAACGTTCTATTGTTGAGAGCGTAATCCTGAATAACAGCACGGCTCGATGCTTTGGAAAATAATAAATCGTGCTAAAAGTAATCCGACACGATCGACGACGGTATTTGATCGGTCTCGACGCCAATGATACGTTAATGGGAGATTTTCCACGTGCCCGTGGCACAGTTTCCGACGTTGTTCAATTAAACGCGATTAAAACAAATCGCCGTGCCTAGAAACCGACCTTAAAATTTCTCGCGATTAATGAGTTCCAGCGGGGTCATTCTCGTGGGAAATGGGACACGTTTCGCATGACAGGGAATTGCACCAGATCTCGATGATGGATGCTGAATTCGGTATTGGTTCATAGAACGCTTTAAAACGTGGAATAATAGGTAATTAATAGCTCGGTGTATGTCGCGCGTATAGTCAGACGCGGTGGGAAATATGGAAATCAATGATGATCCTTATTTCGTTGAAAATGGGGCTTAAGGTTCATGAGACGCCATTTTATACTGTATTCTGTGATAATAAATTTTTGTACCGCAGTATGACAGATAATTATTCTAGATTCGTTCATAAAAAGACGTGTTTGTGTTTCCTATTTAAGTGGGTCAATTTATAGGTTAGGATTGGGCATAGAGGGAGCTGCTACGCGTAATCAAAATGGCGACCAGTACCTGAATTATTGGTATTTAATAATCTCTTATTGCACCTAAGTTTATGTGTCTCAATTATAGCGTCAAATTAATGTAGCTATTTTATATAGTGCACATCTTAAAAAGTAATTAACCTAGGTTTATGTAATTGTGAAAACTTAGAACTTGGGTATATAAATGTCAATTTACCAACGTGTTTCCTAATACCTAGAGAACGTGGTACTATGTAGGTTTTAGTAAATACTTGTGAATGACTTTGTTATAGAAAACCAGTTTGCCAGGAAAGTAGTATTGTAAGTAGTATATAGCTGGCAGTGACTTCTAAGAACACAAGAAGTTAGGTGCACACCGACTCTAACTCACCTGACCAATGTTATCCAGCAGCTTGTACTGATTCAGCTGAAGAGCCCCTTGCCTATTGTCAATGGAAACCCTTCTGCTCTCCCTCAGAGGCCTTCTCCTGTTCCTGGGTGACCCCTGAGGACTCCCATATGGGGAATACGGGCAATAGGGATAGATAGGCCTCGCGGAGACGTTCGAGCCGTCCCCAAGGAACCTCTGATTCGTCCCTACTTCTCCGGGTGAGATTGCTTTTCTAACGTCAGAATCGTCAGCAGGTTCAGCGGATGTGAGCATCTGAATATCACTGGAAACGCTGCTTTTCAGAGTGAAAACGCTCGAGGATTTGTTCAGAGACAGGTTCTGCGACTCTGTCGAAGATGCCATTGAGCTAGTCACGTCGTCTTCCTTGGAAATTTGGAAAGATATCCCCCTGTCCAGATGAAGCTCACTGTCAGGCCCGTCTTCAGACTGGGTGGATAGAAACTGATACATCTTGATGGATCGTGGGAGAACACTGAATTGGTCATCCAGCCTGACTGATCTGGATTGGGTTGTCTCTTCGGTCTTTCGAACAGTTCTCGAGATTTTGTACAAAGGCTTTTCGTCCATTCTGGATGCAACGGTCTTGGGTCTCTCAGCTTTGGTGTCTTTCAACTTGTCCAAAGACTCGTTAGATTTGTTGCTCAGTTTACTGACGTTTCGAAGATTGGACTCGAGGAACGTCGAGGTGGAGCAACGAGGAACCACCTGGCCTGGACTCCTCGAGGTCGGAGATACCGAGAGACGGTTGATCGACTCGCTTAGCGAGGAAGGCTCGAAGAAGGTCAATGTATCTTGGCATCTGGTAGCAGTTGGAACTTCTGGCGTGTCCTTTGGCGAGATGCCGTGGTCTGCTGGCTCCCCCAGTAGGCGACATCGCGTGGAGAAGTCCTCTGGTGGATAGAAAGTTTGGTACAAATTAGGCTGAATACGTGGATGTTGCCAAATGTTTCAAACAGGAATTCACTTAATCGAATCGTTTTTGGTCTAAACGCTTCTGACAACTACCGTATTACTTCGACAGGCAGCTTTTGACCTGTTAATCCTCTGTTTTATCACTTTGCCGTCTATTCGAGGCAAGGCAGATTATTGTAACAAAGTTAGTAAGCCTAATATAGACTGTCAAAGATACTATGCATTTTTTAATTAAATTATAGACTTAAGAAAAATCCCAATACCCAATTAACGAATTATCATGTACCACAACTTACCAGAGCTGACACGTTTTTCCAGGTTACAAAGATTATCCAAACTCTCCTGTCTAGAGGGAGCTTCATCCCTCAGTATCTCCCTGACCTCTTCGATATTAGGCATCTCGAGTCCAGCTCCGGACACCTTCCTGTACACCTCTGTGGTAGGCATCCTTTCGACCTTGATGTCTTCTGTCAAGCTCTCCTCTGCCCTGCCCAATATCACCCTGGAGTTCAGGCGTTTTGGACCCGTGGAGGACCTACGTCTCTCCTTCAAGAACAACGACAAATCCTGCACGTCGGCAGTCGACGAGTTTCTCCTATCCTCGTCGAAGGTATCTAGATTGCTCCCGTATCCGCTGCTTTCTCTTCTGGGCCTCACTATCTTTGGACTCCTCGATTTCAGGATCTCGCGTAGGGTAGGAAGCCCTTCGGACTCTTCCAGGAACAGAGCACTGTCTTTCCTCACTTCGATGATCTCTTGGTCAGAGATATCCTCGGGACTGGAAGGAATCCTGGCGGAATCCTCGCGATCCTTCAACTTCGACTTGATTGGCTCCTCTGAAGGTAACGTGATGGTCACCTTGCCGTCCAAATCGTCAGATTTTTCTATTCCTTGGTCCGTGGATTTGTTCAGACCCAGAGACTTTCGTACTAGACCTAGTTGGTCGATTGGTAGTCTCGGCTGTCGTTCCAGGGAACAGGAGGATTTGTTGAGGACGTTCAGAGATCGAGCCTCTCTTTTGGTCGATGGATACTGGAACCTGGCCGGTTCCTTGGACGATAGCGTCGTTTTCGCCTCGTATTTTCGGATAGAAGGGTATTGGTCCGTAGAAGTGCTGGAAGGCAACGGGAAAATGCTTCTGGGCGAGTCCAGAGGAATATCTAGCGAGGAGTCCCTCGTGGTCGGTGCAGCGACTGTCAGCGACTTGGAAATGGAGCCCGGAGATTCTTCGTCGATCGCGCTGTGTCTGGAAACAGAAATTTATTCAAAATTAATCTTAAATTCCCTGCAATAATTTACCTTTGCAATAAAACTTTTCCAAAAATTTATTTCGGATATTAAATAAAAGAAATTCTTAATTCTCTAAAAACTTCGTTCCTATGCAATAGTAATTAATAATTATCATTTTTCTACATCTTCTGCTATTGTGTTATAATTTATTAAATTAATTAATCATTCGAAATCTCTGCTCTTAATGTAATTCGTTTCCAAATATTTCAATTGAAATTTTATTTTAATGTTTTAAAAACTTAAAGAATGAGAGAATTTTATAATAATTTGTTTCGTAGCACGTTTATTTTATTAATTATTTGTGTGCAAGCAAATCAGTTTAATTAGGCGAACATGGACTTTTTCTCAAACGATATGTCTGGAGAAAAAACGCAGATTATAAGCATACTACTGATCCCAGTTGAGTTTCACAGAAGCTGAAAGAGGTAAAGGCAACTACTAGCCATTTCGACACGACCATAAATAACGATGGTCCAATTAGCGTCAGTTTTTTTCCCTCTCCGCGATATAAAAGTCAACCTCAGCGGTTGACCAGCCTGTAAAAATGGCGCGCGTGATTTGTGGCGTTTGTGTAGAGGGCGTTCAGAGCTAATCAAACTGGAGGCAAGTTAAACTGTTTTCACCAGTGAAAAATGTCGTAATCGTATATCTCCGGCCTCGTAAAACAAGTGATCTCATTCGAAACCCCAATCCGAGGCGTTTAAAATTTTTTTTAAAGCACTTTGCGGACATTAACGAAATTTTATTACAACCGTACGTCCATCTTCTATAACATAATAAAGCTGAACAGTGCATATCCACTGGGCAGAATCATTTTTAAATAACATTTCGAATAATAATCCTAAATTATTCCCAAAAAATACTTACTTCCTCTTTTCCATAAATTACTCCATTTAAGAACTCCAATTTAGAATGAAAGAAAATAATAATAAACAGAAAATTTCACTACCGAAATAAAAATCGAGTTCCTTTTCCGAATTTTCTACCATTTCTGTCTATTCTGGAACGCAAATAAACTCACAGTTGGGATTACCTAAATTTCATAGTACAGGGTGACCACTGAGACTGAATGACATAAAATAAAAATAATTTTTACAAGCATATATGTTCCTTTAATTTCTTAATATTTTATTTGGAAATATAATTATGCATACGTAGCTATCTTAATTTCCAAAATTAAGAATTTTTCAAATCTTCCAATTTTTCAATGGCCACCCTGTATTTGGAGATATAATAAATAGCTATTTTAATTCTCAAAATTAGAACTTTTCCAAAGCCCCCAATTTTTCAACAATTTATCCTGTATTTGAATCACGTCGATCCACGACAATGCAGTTATGCATGGACATAACTGAATATAATCACAACTGCGGCGAAATTTCACGCAGACAACGAACATCCAACGCGTGACAGCGTTCCAAGCTATCGTGCTCATTTTCCCCGATTAAAATCGCAATCGAGCGATATTTAATCGCCATTGCAGGCCCGACAATACCGTCGACGACCATTAATCCCTATCACGCGTCGCCACTAGCGAACAATTCGCGAAAACTAAATTGCCCAGAGACAAACTCCATCGGATTCGAAACAGGCCGAGCTGGCTGGACGGGAAATTGCTCTAGCAAATAGCGTTGTACGATCCGTGACAAATATAAACGACACCCGTCGATTCGACCATTTCAATCGGCGGCGGACCTCTCGTTTTACACGATCACGAGGAACAGGGCGTTTCAGCCGGGACAACCGGTGACGGGGCTGTCAAGAGAGGCAAACGCGGCCGGGGTGAATTGAATTTTCCTCGAAAACAAGCCGGCCAACTTTTTCGAGAGCTCGCGAGCCCACCGAAACAACAATCTCATCTGCGTTTGACATTTAATCGCCGCTTCCAACTCGAGGCCCCAGCTGATCGAAATGTACTCGCAATTTTCACCCGCCATTGCGTTTCGCTTACTTTTATTTTATTTTTATGCAATTAACTTCCAGGGCACGGATAATACAGGAACATCGACCTTTTCCTTAGTTGGACCATGATACTAATTATTTTAATTTATATTTATTTCGTTGTAACTATTTTTTGAAAATTTATATGATGTCGATAAATGGAGAACTTTGAACAGAGAACGTTGATAATTTGCGGTATTTTCTACTCTTTTGCCATATCATTGGTTAATTTATTAAACATTAAAAGTAATGCGAATTTCATTGGACTATAGACAAAGCGCTTCGCAGACTTCGTGTTAATTGAAGCGGAGACACTCGAGTAAAAGTGTCTTCTTTTTCATTTAGATGCAATTGAGATCAAGAGACTCGAAGGTTCGAATCGTATAAAGATCTGAATTTAAACGATACTTATTTACATCTATTTGTTCGTTCATAACAGACGATCATAATGACAATTATAATAAAATTAAAAATATGAATATAGAGAGTCTCCTCGCAAAATAATATAGTACCCTTGCAGAAAATAAAGACAATAGTTTGTAAAGAATACAAAGGCAACAGAGAAAGAAACATTAAAATTTTAATTAGGGTAATTACAATAATAAGGAAATAAATAATTGAAATAATAGATTAAACTGAATTTAATTGCCAAGTCTATTGATTAGAGTGAATCATCGAAAGTATATTGCACTATAATTTTCGAATCATCACGGGACTTCTACACGGCAGTGGGAGCCGCCATGATTAACGGCCGAGTACAAGTGGCGCCGCCGTTAGGGCTCAGGCGGTACTACTCGCGCAAAGAAAATGTCTTCCGCACTCGATTCGCTCTCGAACCTCGTCGCGCTTCGTGCTTCAAACACTTCCATCTCCGAGGGTTAGACGCTCGAGCGTCATTTAAATTTCATATTTTCGTCATTTTAACCGGAGCGATCTCAATTGCAAATCGGCGATCCTCTGAGAGACATACGATAGGCAGGTAGCTTCGTTGAGGATTTAATGAGCTCCATGCACCCAGGGGGCTGAAACTTCCGACTGGATTCCTGGCGAAACTCGTCCAACGATTCGTGGATCCCGTCTACATCGTAAATGCGTTGCCTTCCGATATTCTCCAGCCGCTCTGGCCTCATCTATTATTTTTACGACCGCTCTTTCTAGCCTGTTTCGCGATATCGCGGAGCGAAACGATTGTATTTTTCAAATCGAACGTCGTCACCCTTTTGCTGTTGACACGCTATTTTCGAGTGTACCAGAAACTCACACGTGAAAAGGTTGGGGGTTTTGTCGGTGTCAGGAACTGATTACCAGTCACGGTGGAAGATTTAGTTTAGTAAGCCCGGTGATGAAACGAAAGAGAACTATACACGTGTATCAAAATGTGCAGAACAATACAAATAACCCAATTCAAATTCTTTGTATTTTACATTCGTGTACAAGCTATAGCAGATTGGTCACTTGGTTTTGTATTCAGCTATGAAGATGGAAAATGGAAAGTTAATATACACATGAATTTATACAATCCTCTCTACTTGGTCTAATGCAGTACCTATTTCCAGAATATTTTCGATCCTGTCTATCGTAAAGCTAGAATAGTTTGTTTGTGTGCCCTAATATCAAGTATACTTAGTTCTTCCTCCATTCGTTATAAATATAAATACCAAATTAATACCAAATTCCTGTTCTCAAAAATTACCTGGCACAGTCACTGGATCCAGTTAGACTCGCGTAACAGACCAAACCTGGATGACTTGTCGCTGAACAGTGAAGAGACTAAGCGTCACTTTGAGAAACGATCATCCACGAAAACTTCGATTTTTCAGCGTGAACGACCAAGAGGTCGATTTGACTTGGAAATAACGTTCGCGGCACGGATCAATTGTTCGATGAGAACTAGGCCAATGAATAGGAGCGACAGGTCGATCTGCATTCGCAGAGGGTCTAGTCGCTGTATGACAGCTTCCTCGTCCGCGTATCTGGCCGAATTAGAACTCGGCTTTGAGCTCGTTGGTAATTAGTTACGACCACTTTCGCACGGTCAATCGGGATTCCAGCTGTCACGCGTCGGGTACTTAGGGAATCCGTACGATCTCGACGCGATTCAAGCGTTCAGTTCACGCCTAACCTCGAGCAAGAGGCTTCGTAGCTATGGTATCGCTGTAAACGCGAGAACTGATTCATCCATTCGACGCAAAAGCTCGTATGACGTCCCCCCAGTGCATAGAAGGAAGATGTTACGTCCTCCATGCGTGCCACTTCGCCGGACTGGACAGATGGCGCTAGTGAGTTACGCGACGTTCCCAACGTCACGTAGGTTCTACTATGGTACACTGGGAGCTGCTACTAACGCATACCACTACAAAAATATAGCACGAGTGAATTTTATGGAAAGTATCGGATCCCCTGTCACGATTTTTATGAATTCTCTTTAGACCAATTCCGTTTGAATATGAATTCGTATAAATAAATTTCGCCGAACTTAAACGTCGATGTCCAATGAATTCGATTTGAATATAATTTCGATACCACTGTTTCACGAATTTCGTTTCAATTCAATTTGAATATTATTATTTTTACTAGCCACAAGGACACACTGTTTTCCTTCGGATCAAAACTTCCTTCCAAATCGATGAATCGGAAAATTATTCCAGATAGAAATAAGCGAACCTCTTTCTCGCAACAGCCGGACGAGCGGGACTAAAATCGAACGAACGAATAAGGACTAGAATTCTATTCGCAATTCAAGTAATCTCTGGATCGGAATCCGAAATGGCAGGATCGTTCACGATTGGTGTAACGTCTCGCGTAGCCGAGTGCCATTCTAACAAGGAATGCATGTCGTTCTATGGTTTTTGCAGCAGCCTGAGGCCAATAAGGAGAACGGGGAACGATGGGAATAAAAAGTAGAGACTCGCCTAACCGGGAAACTGTTCAGACCAGTGAGAAATCGTATCGTCAGCTCCGTGACAAATTATCCAGGCCCAGCGGGGAATACTCACGACTGTGACGACCGTCGCC